GCTTGATTTTCATCTTTTTCAACTCCAATTCCATATTCGTAACAGTAACCAAGCCAGAATATTCCGTCTGGATTATTAATATCTGCAGATTTTTGACAATCAATAAAATTCAGTTGATTAAGAATGCTAGTCATTTTAGTAACGACATACGATGAACCTAATATCTTTTTGATTCATTCGATAAATAAATAAAAAAAGGTCAATAAATATTGAATATCAAGAAAAAATAGTTACTACTGTCGTTAATTAATCTGTTGCAGTTACTTTTTTTTGCTAAAATATATTGGTCTCAGATATTATTACATAAGACTGCAGGACTGGTACAGATAAAAAAATCGATATTAAGTCGGCGCATTACAGCCCGAAATTGTGAAACCAAATATTTCCTAAATAATCACCTCGAATTTATCGTATAACGATAATTTTCGAATCTAATTCTCTATTTGAGAATAATTTTATTGAAATAGAGATGACCGAATTAGTTGATAATACAGTAATTCAGATATGTGAATACAATAAATTGTTGAAACACTAGATATCGATATTAATTATATATTAATTATTCATTGACGAAGCGAAAGATTTAACCAAACAATATTAAATTAAAATATACCGTACTTTTATTTTATTATATTTTTAATAATGTTTATAGCTGTTTTCATAAATATGGAGCTGAATAGCATTAGATTTTTTCAGAGATCCCTATCAGAATGATTTTAAATATAATGTTTTAATTATCTTCGTCATTCAGCAAGTACAGAGATTTATTATAGGTTTGATCATGGAAGACTTAAAATTTTGCTTTGTACGTACAGTACATAGAAATAGTCTTCAATAAATTTTTTATTCATAGATCCGAATCATTATGATAATGTTTGTAATTTTTTCAGTTTAAATAAATTCTTTTCAAACAGAATATTGAATTCAAACAAGAATTAGATTTGAAAGAAATCTAAAAAACATTAAAATTAGAGATGGAACATGCTCGTGAATTTGCATCAATGTACGAATTGTTTTATGCAAGAAAGGGCAGCACTAAGATAACAAAAGATAATTCTTAATGATATTCATTAATAAATGAGGATAAAACTGTATTGAAATTTAAATCTTGAAGCTTATATAGTTGTTCTATAAAAATTTTTGATGGGAAAAATGTATATAAAATTTCATCTCTAGTTAAAATTATATAAAATAAAATAAGCTAAGAATGACTGTTTAATTTTCAAATTAAATGTTTTATAGTCTTAAATTTATTCTAAGCATTAGAAGCTAGTTATTATTTTTTTTTAATTCACCTACGTATCAAGCCATTGTGGCGCGCCAACCTGGTACACATTTTCCAGATGCAAAGAATTAACGTTAAGGGGTAAATCGTAGTTGAAGGATTAAAAAAATACCAAATCGGAATTTAATATAAACTTTCTATAATAATGCAGAAATGTGGCTATATTACATATAAAAGTATTTTTTTTATTAAGTTAACCTTCTTTTTGCTTCTAATAAAAGTTGTAGAACTATGTTTTGTGATTCTAATGGTAACAAAATCATCAAAATCTGTTCAGTAGATTCCGAGATATTAGTATTAGTATTTTTTTTTTTTTACTATACGATTTTTACTATTGGAAAAAACTTTATCCGCCGATTTTTACTATGAAATTTATACCCTTTAACTGCGGACTACCCCTTAATAAACATTCAAAATATATCATTATATTTTTAAGAACATTATTAAAAGAATCGTTATATTAATTAAAAATCGACATTGCATTTATTAAAAGTATCATTATATTAATTAGAAGCGTCATTCTATTTTTTCAAAGCATCATTATTTATTAAAATAATCATTATATTAATTAAAAGCATCATTATATTTATTTTAATCAGCGATCATAGCAAAATTTTATCATCGGGATTTGGGCATATGCATTTGGGATTTGGGACAGTATTTGGGATTTGGGATTGCATTTGGGTTTTGACGAAAGCCCGAATCCCGATGCCGAAATAGTTTGGGTGACATCTCTAATTTGGACATTAGACATGTCTAAAAAAGCTTTGGACATACCAAAACATACAACACTAATTAAAAGTGTTCAAAAATGAATATAAAGACAAACTTCTACACATTTTATAGTAATGAATAACAAATGATTAAAATTCTTTGAAACTTCCAAAGTTAACTAAATTTATTTTTCCTATAAAATATGAAAAAGGAAAGTGTATGACAAACATTTTATGTGAATTAATACGCAATTTTTTTTTTAAAAAAAAATAGATATATCTGATATATAAAATTGCATTTTTTAGAAAACTCTAAGCTATTAGATTTTATCATCACATCTCAAAGTTTACCAGTTGTAATCCTATATTCAGCAAATGCTAGTACTTAATAAGTACTAAAATTATAGATGTTTTTAGTATTTATAAATTTTTATTACTTATTAAGTACTAACTCTAATATTTATTAAGTACTTCTTCAACTTTTAAGTATTTTATAAGTACTTATAATAAGTTGCAACCTAGTCCCAATAAGTACTTGCTAAGTACTTATTAACGACTTGATTTAATACTAAGCAAGTGTTATGACAAACATTGTGATGCATAGCAATATAAAAAAATTCCAAACTTTTTTATTGTGCAGAGTTATAAGACTGAGTTTATTGTGCTTAACAGAATATAATATTACTTAATAATACTGAATAAAGAAAATAACTATTACAATATATACTGTATAAAAGAATTAGAATTTTAATCAATATTATTAGCCAGCTGATAAAATTATCAACTAACTAAGTGCCAGCTTAATTGGCTTGGAACATTAGTCACAACCAGTGTCAGAAGTTCAATTTTAAATTTTGTTGCAGGTCCGCAAGATAACGAAGTTTGGTAACATTATAATATATAACTAAAATTATAAGAAATTCGAGAAAATTTGTCATGAATTTAAATGATTTAAGAGATAAAGAATTTCTTATACAGTTTTATTATAGAAAAAATTCAATTCAATATTTATTATTCATTAACTAGACTAATATAAGTTATAAGCTAAAAAAAGTTATCCTTTCAGATAGATGTGGAAGGTACCTTTTTATACCTTTTAGTTATTGTATAGAGAAATTTCTAATATTCTTCTCTTCTATTCCTGACTCTATAAACATAACTCTCATCAATATCTATTGACCTTACTCTATAAATAACTCGCCTGACGTGACAAACGTCCCAGCCGGCTTTACGAGCTCATAACAAACAAACATAGAGCTTGGCTAACCATTTCGTGGCACATTTCTGAACAATATAGTACAGTAAAAGATAAGTCGAATAAGATAATAAATTTGATAAAAAAAAACAAATGAAAAATAAAAGTATTATAATATAAAAAGAAAAAAAATAATAAAATAGAGGAAAGGAACCCAGTAACCAAGTCGGCCACCAAAAACTCTAACAGTACCAGTGTTAAAGAAGCCAATTGACAATGAGATAACTAAGAAAAAACTTTTTTATTTAATAATAATTTTTTAAAAGATATTTATGAGAAAATTTAGATAACAAATACCAATTGTCAGAATAATTAGATTCGGGTAGACCTAAATAAATAAAATTAGGCGTTATTATTGAAGTGTTAAGGAAATTATCTTAAGTAATTTTTAATATAATCGTTATATATTTACATTGATTTCGAATATTTTTGCTTGTGCTGGATCGTATATTGAGATCACTTGAATGAGGTTTTGGAAAGATAAGATTGTTAAGCCACTGATTTGTATAGTTAAAGGCATTAAGCAAATGACCTGTATAGGTGGTAGTAGGAACATTAACCCGGCAACTCTTTGTATAACGTGTTTCTGAATATATTTTTTGTGACGGATTTTTTTTGGAAAATTTCTTTGATCTTTGGATTTGTTTGTATAATTCAGAATTTTTATTATCTTTATCCTTCCACCAATTATAAAATTTTGTAAATAATTCATCTGCATTGGGACGTTTAGCTGGTTCAGGATTCCAACAACGAATAATTAATTGCTTGAATAAATCTGGTATCTCAGGTTTAATTTTCGGCCTTCTAATGTCACACTCAAAAAATATTAAATGCATATCATGAGAAATTTCGTAAAAAGGAGGTTCTTCAGAAAATAATTCATTCATAATAACACCAAAACTATAGACATCTGAAGCTTGCGTGAATTTGTGCTCTCGTAATACCTCTGGAGCCATATAAGGCAAAGCTCCATAAATTTCATTTTTATTATCGTTCATTTTATCAATTTGAAAACATAAACCTAAATCTGATATGTTAGTTCCGCTAAACTCATCACATAAAATGTTTCCACTGTGGAGATCTCTATGTATTAAACCAGCAGAATGAATCGCTTTAAGTCCTGTTGTAATTCTCAAAAGCATATCAATTTTACAAAACCACGACAATTTTCCCCGATTACGAGTTATATATTTACGTAAATTTCCATGACTAGCATATTCTAAAACCATTATAAAATTATTTGTCTTTGGGTCTTTAGTTATCCCGTAACACCAGATGGTGCACCTTTCATATGCGATATTAATATAACATTTTATCTAAATATTACATAAGAATATACTGTATATAAGATCATTTTGATGTAACACGATTTTGGAATTATGGAATAAAATAAATTCATACCTCTTGTAAAAATTTATCAAAGTTTGTGCATGAATTATTTAGAATTTTCAAAGCGACCTTCATATCACCTTTTCGTTTCCATTGTTGAATTTGATCGTTCCATTCCAGAACTCTTCCACCAGTCCAGATTGCCTTATAGACTTTGCTAAATCCACCTTCATCTAAATATTCAATTTCTTTAAATTTATCATATGGAATCCATTCTAAAACATTATAATCATTTAATGCTTTCAATTGAGAATTTCTAATAAATTCATCAACATCCTTGTTTCCACTTGTCCATTCGTTAAATTGTTTTTTAAAATGATCAGCGTTGCATGTGTTGCAC